TGGGAAGCACACAGAAATATCACCAGGCAAGAGACATAGCGTGGGAAGCACACAGAAATATCACCAGGCAAGAGACATAGCGTGGGAAGCACACAGAAATATCACAAGGCAATAGACTTAGCGTGGAAAACACACAGAAATATCACCAGGCAAGAGACATAGCGTGGGAAGCACACAGAAATATCACCAGGCAAGAGACATAGCGTGGAAAGCACACAGAAATATCACCAGGCAAGAGACATAGCGTGGGAAGCACACAGAAATATTACCAGGCAAGAGACATAGCGTGGAAACTACACAGAAATATCACCAGGCAAGAGACATAGCGTGGAAAGCATACAGAAATATCACCAAGCAAGAGACATAGCGGGAGAACCACACAGAAATATCACCAGGCAACAGACATAACGTGGAAACTACACAGAAATATCACAGGCAAGAGACATAGCGTGGGAAGCACACAGAAATATCACCAGGCAAGAGACATAGCGTAGGAAGCATACAGAAATATCACCAAGCAAGAGACATAGCGTGAGAACCACACAGAAATATCACCAGGCAACAGACATAACGTGGAAACTACACAGAAATATCACCAAGCCAGAGTCACATTAAACACGATATCATATCTTTGGCTGTTTTCAATACGACATGCATACCCATGTTGCTCTTAATTAAATTTAATGTTTATACTGGTTGTGCGTCTTACACCGCTGTGCCATTATTCATAAATCAGTTTCATGCATATCCCATATAACATCTTTAATCAATTATTTTCATGTATATCTCATACAACATCTTTAATAAATTATTTTCATGTATATCTCATACAACATCTTTAATCAATTATTTTCATGTATATCCCATACAACATCTTTAATCAATTATTTTCATGTATGTCCCATATAGCATCTTTAATCAATTATTTTCATGTATGTCCCATATAGCATCTTTAATCAATTATTTTCATGTATATCCCATATAACATCTTTAATAAATTATTTTCATGTATGTCCCATATAACATCTTTAGTAAATTATTTTCATGTATATCCCATATAACATCTTTAATCAATTATTTTCATGTATATCCCATATCAAACATACGTAAGCTATGT